GGGCGAGCCCAGTTCCACCACGAGCATGTAAGGATGCAGACCGCTCGCAGCTCTCCAGGCTCACGAGAGCCAGCAGCGTCGCTCCGCAGGTCTCCATCACTTCTTTCTCTCATTGTCTTAGGTTTGAAATTAATTTGCTCTGTGATCCTGGAGACCAAATCGCTCTCCATTTTAACCCCCGCTTCGCCAGCTCCAGAATCGTCTGCAACTCCTTCCTCGCCAATCACTGGGGGAAGGAAGAGGTTAATAACACCTTCCCCTTCGAAGCAAAGGAGCCGTTCCAGGTAACCCTACCTCACCCCACAGGTCTCCTCAGGTGGGACAGGAGTGACCCAGCCAATATTGGGGTCCTGCTGATGGATCTAGCCCTGCCTTTCCTGCCAGCACCATACCCAGTAACCTCCCCCCTCCAACTCTCTCTCCTATGAATATTTCTGTTGTTCCCCGATTTGCTGCAGATTTACACCAACTCTGGCACAGGCATGCAGAGCTCCAGCGATAATCCCTGGATGCTGCATTTGTTTTCACTTTAGGCTTTGCATTATCACCAGTTTCTGCTATCACAAAGCGCAGAACTCAAATATTTCCTCCTTTTGCCCAAAATGGGGTTGAGCAGTAGGATTTGAAGGGGGTTGTACCTGCATGTGCCCAGATCTGGGCACTTACTGATGTGATGGCAGCAGGGTCCACTGAGGACACGTGGCTGCACGGTGAACCTAACACAGTCTCTCTTTCAGGTTGAAATCTACTCTGACCAGGACTATTTCCACATTTTCATCGATGAAAACAAAATTTTGCAGTACAAGCATCGGCAGAAGCAGCTTTCATCCATTACCAAGCTGCAGATTCTCAATGATATTGCCATTTCTTCAGTGGAAATCATCAAACGAGGCCTTTAACTAGAGACCAGATTTGGGACCATTGCAGACCATTCCTCCTTAAGCTCCTGATCCAGCTGGAGACCATCTCCTCCCTTTCTCCACCTGACACATGCCACCACTGGCCAGGGAGATAGCTATGCACGTGCTCTCGCAGCGGAAGCGATGGCCATTCCCGTTGCACTCCACTAAGGCAGCACCCAGCCGTGTCGCTAACTGTAGCCCAGATCATTGAAGACTTTCTGCCCCCATGCCTTAGGGTGCACAACGGGCTTTGTAGGTCATATCACCTGTGCTGTTGGACAGCCTGACAGGTCACTGCAGCACGCAGAAGTCTGCCTCCAGTAGTCTAGATGCCTGAATGTTACCCTAGAAACTGTGTTTGCCCAAGAGTAGGGTGAGAATTAGCACTAGTCCTCAGCTGGCCATGTGGGTGTGGATGTTCGGGATGGAAAGGTACATTTCTTTCCAGGAGCTGGGTAAAAGTGCTACCATATTTGCCAATAAAATCAAATAAGGAAATCCCTGCTGAAATGTCCCTCACTGGGCAGATCAATCGAGTTATTCATTCCCTGCAGATCTCCAGACACCTGGCATGAACGAGGGCTGGTGACTGGGCAGGAGGACTCAGGCTGAGGGTTGCTCGTTTTCAGCACTGGGAAAATACTGCCATTTTGCTTTGAGGGCTAACATGAAATGAAAGTCCTATGTAGGTAGATCAGGGTGATAAGATTCAATTTGCAAGATATTTCCAGAGATTCCTTTCATCAATTGAGATATGTTTGTTCAGCCCGAGTCCTGCCAACTCCAGGCTTCTTAGACAGACCCGAAAAGTGATATAGTGGATCAGAAAAGGGTAAAAGCTTGGAGACACATAAAAACACATGGTGCCTTCATCACGCACCAGAAGTGCAGCTGGACTCCAAACAAAAGGATCTGAGTAAATCAGGATCCAGAAATTATGATAAGTTCGGAATGAGCAAAGTGCCATTATTCCTGTGGATAGACTCTGGCTTTTCTCTTTGCTCTGCTCGCTTGTTTTCTTTTCTCCTTTTTAGCTGTCTTTCAAAACAGTCCACTTGTCCCTCGCACTTTCTTCTCTTTTCCATTCTCTTCCTTGAAGAGCAACATATCTCCGACTCCTTGACCAGGCCACAGCAGGCTAAAAGATGTTATTTTTACTTTGTTTTAATTACACACGTCATAAGAAGCATAATGTCACAGCGTTAAATCTGAACAGGAACTCACTCCAAAAACGCAATTACAGCTGCCCCCAAATCACTCCTTTGTTCCTCAGACATAAGACAGATCACATTCCTGATGCAAAAGGCAAAGACAATCCCTTGGTAAGACAGTTTTCTTGGTAAGAAGTCATTTGTTGCGTTTGGGTGGGATCTCTGAAGGTCACAGCTTTGCTCCAGCCTTTTCTCCAAGCTTAAATTGGCCATTCCTAACTCTTCCCTCTATTTATAGTCTCAAGGACTTAAGAAGAAGAGGTGACCGCGTAGCCAACCACAACACAGGACGCCACAAAGTTGACATTTATGAGTCTGCTAAAAAGTTTGTAATGTTTTTCCAGACCATAAAGAACACTAACTGGAAACCATCCTGTTCATGTGGCAAAGAGCACAAAAGAAACACAAAATGGTCCCAAACGGTACCTCCTCCCTCCAAAAAGAACAGAAAATACGGTTTGGAAATGGACAGAGTCTTGGTTGCAAGTCAGGAAGGTTGAAGTTGGTGTGACTTTCCCTGGCCTGGAAGAAATCTGTCACCACTGGGACGAGAAAGTTGGCTCAAATTCTGGTTGTTGTGATGTGACTCAGGGTTTCAACAAACTTTACTCTTACAGTCATCCTTTCAGTAAAAAAGGCACAAACACAGACAAAATCAGGCCCACTGGGATCTCTGCGTCATACATCTGATAATGCTGAACTGCATTTGAAAGAAATTGTTCTTTTCATTTGTGCTTCTTTGGGGGTTGATAGAGACAGATCATTTTTCATGGAGGAAAAGCGATGAAATGATTTATAAGGGTAATACTTGGTACTTGCATGGCAGCAAACTCCATCGATAGCCACTGCTGCAGAAATACACCGAAATGTCATTGTTCTCCAGAACAGAGCACAAAGGACCATGGACAAACAGAGCAAAACATATTTCAAGTACAAATAAATAAAGAGATGCCACAAACAATCAGGCAGCGGCAGAGATTATGCCCTGACTCCTGAACACGTTCCCCTCAGCTCCTGCCAGCGGCTGATCTCACTCCGTTACCATCCGCACCGAGAGAGCCTGATCGCTCCCGACACATCCACAGCATCACTGCCGGCTTCAGGGTTTTATCTGTTGCCTCCTCCGGCCAAAACACTCCCAAGGGTGAAGGAGTCTTCAGAATAAGAGAGGTCTGAGGAGCTACAGAACATCTCTTGGAGGAAAACTCCAGGGCTGGCTGTTTATAGCTGTTTCGCACAGTTTTATAGGGAATGAGAGATGCCCTCCAAGTCTGTGACCCTCATCTACCCCTTAAGGAGAAACTCTGGAAGAAAATGAAACCCCACAATTATGATGGTCAATTAAACACTCAGGAGGGAGGTTGGCACATCAGACTTGCACAGAGGCACTGCATGCCAGCATTGAGGTGATCGAAGGGAACAAATCAATCCTCCTTCCAAATTTTCACCAACCTTCCTAGTCATGACGTGGGGTTTGAAACTGGGGAGGGAACTGATGAGGACGAGCTCCTGCCCAGGGGTATTTTTGAAGAGCTGGAGGCTTTCAAAGGGGAAGGGGCAGAGACAGCCCGGGGTGCAGCTCAGGGAGGGATCAGCATTTCACTGCCCAACCTAAAGGCAAAGCTCAAAATTTTGCTGTGGCCATGCACAGCACAAAAGTCAGGCTGAAATGCTTCCAGAAAGAGCAATTATTGCGGGCTGGGATCAGGACTGTCCTAGGAAAGATCTTCTCGTAAAGCAGTGGCTGCTGCCCTTAAAGCTTATGTGAACTGGGGAGGGACACCCAAGAGACAGATGTCCCTCAGGAGGCAAAGCCAGGAGAGGTGGTGACCTCCCACGTGGGCTCTCCCTTTCCCACTGATTCTCCTCATTTGGGCTGGATCTTCAGAGCTCAGTGAAATGCTCTGGCTTGTCCCCAGATCAATGAGGGGAAAATTAGGCTTGTAATCCTTCATGCGTCAGCTGTGTCAGGACCCCCAGGGCCAAGGTCTCCTCTGGCAATGTCGCAGAGCTGCAGATCTCCCGCGGAGCATCTGCCGATGCATGACCAGAGAGCGCTCCTTGGTGTCACTGACACTGCTAGCAACCATCACGCACCCCAGCAGCAAGCACCGGCAATTTCTTCACAGGCTGGTGAGCAAAGGGCTCCCACGTCAGTGACAGTCACATCTCATCAGCAGAGCAGCAGCCTGGAGACATTGGCCTGAGTGACACTGTCTCTGCCAGCCTTAGCAAGGGACGGCTGAATATCAGACACTGGGTCCTGCCTTGAGATAGGAAAGGTAGCGTGAAAAAGAGCAAGGACTTGTTGCCAATGCAGTGGGAAAGACTCTAGGAAAGTACAAAAAAAAGGAGAAAGTCATGCAGGTTGCATCTGCCTCATACTCACTTTCTGACTTGAGGCTTTTTTTTTTTTTTTAACATGATCATCCCTCTACAATAAATACAACCAAACCCCCCAGACTTTGATGCTGGAGGTGTAGCTACTTATAGCTAGAAGGCAGCTCTGTTGAAGAGAGGCAGGAGGAGGGCAGTCGTTAACCTTTCAACTAGTAATTCCCTTTCCCCTCCCATTACAATACTCCCATGAACATCTGGTGGCCAACAGCTGGGCTGCAGCAGACCTTCACATCTCCACTGATCCTAAGCAACTGTGTTGTGGTGCAGCTTAGTGATCATGGACCCACGTCTATGGCATCTCTAAATTCCCACATTCCCCAAGGCCTCCTTTTTCCCAGCACATTGCCACAGGAATAGCTGCTAGGTCAGACCTTGTCAGCAGAGACTTTCTTCCTCACATCTCTGAGCATCTAAGAGGCTGCTTATTCAACAAATGAAGGGCTGTCAAGCTCCTTACATGCTCAGGAGTCACAGGTGTTTTCTGGCAGGACTGAGGAACACAAAGGACAAATGTTCAGCTTTTTTCTGGAGAGCATGAGGGGAAAAAACCAAGAGGAAAGGAGGAGTAACTCGCAATTCTGGCTGGGAAGAGGCATTTCTGAGGCACCAAGCAGCCTCAAATTGCAGCTAGAAAGGAGTCTCTGCTGGAAAGCAGAGGGATGTTTCTTTTATTGTGTTTAAAAAGAGCTTCATAAAGCCACTTTAACTCACAGCATCTCCATCCAGAGCCATCTCAGACAGGCAAATACACCTCCCAGCCCTGATCTTGCATGCATGGAGGCAGGTACCAGCTGCAGACATTAAATACAGGCTGGAGAGGGATTATTTTCTGAAAGAAAGGATGTACTCTAGAGGTTGAAGAATTAGAAGTTGATGGTATCACTTTATTTGGCAGCTGTGTTACTGTATATCACTGCTGCCTAAGGAAAGGGTGACAGAAATTAGCCTGATGCCCAAATTTGCTGGCCCTCCAGTTCTGCAGTCTGTTCAAGACCCTCTTGCCAAAGCTAGATGCAATCTATCATGTTATTCCTTCAAGCTATTTGAACACAGCTAGCCAAGTCTCTGACTTTACCAGAGCACAAAGCAACAGCCTACGGAGACCAGGATGCTTTCTCTGCACCATCACACCATCATAAGGCTGTCTGGGTCTTATAAAGCACTTTAAAACCATAGGGATCTAAGTAAAAAGAAGGGAGCATCATAACACCATGGTGCAGGTGAGGAAGTGAAGGCATGTGGAGGAAAGGAGCAGAGCACAACGGGAAGGAGGGAACTCTTGCCCTGCAGCTTGTGGCCAGGCCACATAGCCTGTGTGTAGGTTTGGCTGGGACTTCTCATAGTCCATCAGATGTTGCCCCAAGCCTCAATGAGCTCACAGGCTCC